GCATCTCCTTTGCAGATATAAAATTTATGTACATCAAAAAAACCTATAATCTGTAACCTCAATGCACTTGAAGTGTCAAAACATTTTTCCTGATTCTATTATAAAGTCGCCCCATCCACCTTAGAGAATACAAAGGTTCTCTCTGAGCAAAATAATTTTTTTAAAAAGTTGGATGCTATAGGAGGCGCGGAAACGGGGTGCCAGGGAGGCAAGGGTGCCATCAAGACTGCATTGTGATCCTGGAGGCTACATACAGCCCCCAGGTCAAAGCTTGCCCACCTTGATCTTGGACCAAGAGGAGAGGATCTACAGCCATCTTGAGGATAATGGACTCGAATTAGGTGTAGGCAGCATGACCAATGGTCAACACAGATGAAGGTTTATAGAATCATAATTAAGTTGGAAGGGGCCTATAAGGCCATTGCATCCAACCCCCTCCTCAATGCAGGAATCCAAATCATAGCAGATCTGACAGATGGTTGTCTGGTTGTCCAATTTTCTCTTGAATGCTTCCAGTGGTGGAGCACTCATGACCTCCCAAGGTAATTGGTTCCATTGCCATACTGCTCTAATAGTTAAGAAGTTTTTTCAGATATTCAGTCTAAATATCGGGCTTCCTGTAGCTTGGGCCCATTATTATATGTCCTGCACTCTAAGATGATTGAGGACAGATCCTGCCCCTCCTCTGAATGTCCAGTACTTGAAAAGTGCTATCACATTTCCCCTCAATCTTCTTTTCTCAACATTAAACATACCCAGTTTTCTTTTTCGATCTTTCCTCATAGGGCTTGGTTTTCAGTTCCCTAATCATCCTTGTTCTGTCCTTTGAACTTGCTCCAGTGTGTTGACATCTTTCTTAATGTGTGGTGTCCAGAACTCGACACAGTAGTCTAGATGAGGCCTAACTAGTGCTGAATAAAGGGGGACTAGTCCCTCAAAGGATTTTTGAAGATGATACACCTGTTAATGCACCCTAAAGTTGCCTTTGCCTTTTTTTTAGCCAACTCACACTGTTGACTCATATTCAGCTTTTGATCTACAACAATTCCAATATCCTTGTTGCTCGTAGAGTTACTGAGCCAAGTATCCCCAATCTCATAACTGTGTGTTTGGTTTCCTTTCCCTAGGTGTAGAACTTTGCACTTATTTCAAAAAAAACTTCATCCTGTTGTTTTCAGCCCAGTACTCAAGCCAATCAAGATCTTTTTGAATTTTTTTCCTGTCTTCCAAGTTATTAGCTATTTCACCCAATTTTGTGTCATCTCCAAATTTGATACGTATTTCCTGCACTTCTGATCAAAATCATTAATAAAAATGTTGAAGAGCACGGGGCCGAGGACTGAGCCTTAGGATACCCCACTTGCTACCTTCTCCCAATTTGAGGAAGAACCACTGATAAGCACTCTCTGAATACAATTCTGCTACCAACTGTGAATCTACTTAACACTTGTTCTATCCAGCCCATACCTAGTTAGCTTGATAATCAGAATATCACAGGGCATTTTGTCAAAGGCTTTGCTGAACTCAAGATATATTACATCTATGACATTCCTGCTGTCTACCAAGGAGGTTAACCAATAAAAGAAAATGAGATAAGATTAGTCTGGCAGGATTTGTTCTTGACAAATCCATATTGTTTTCTAGTTATTGCTGCATTGTTTCCAAGGTGCTTGCAGAGTGGTTGCTTTATAATCTGCTCCAGAATTGTCCCTGGGATTGATGTCAGTCTAACCGGTCTGTAGTTCCCTTGTTCCTCCTTTTTGCCCTTTTTGAAGATTGGGTTGTACTTCAACAATGTCTGGTGGATCACAGGTTCCCAAACCTACATCTAAGCTTTACAATTTCCTCTTCTGCTGACATTTGGAACCTTTTATATAGCAAGGGGGCAGATGTTTTCTATACCCATTACAGAGAACAAAGCAATGAAGCTTTTTACAGCATGTATCACGTTTGAAATGGTTTCATTACAGTTAAACCTTCCTTTCATGTTTTTAATGCCAGTGGGTTGTGTGTGTTTTTTTTTTTTACTGTAATACTCTCTTTAGCACTAATGCCAGTGGGTTGTGTATTTTTTTTTACTGTAATACTCTCTTTAGCAATACAAAATGCAATGAGGTGATTATCAAAGAACATATACTTGAAAGTATGGTGGCTGCAAGGAACTCCAAGCTTTAAGGAATTAACTGTGAATTTACAATGTTGGATAACTCAAGACGAATGCTGCCGTAAGCAGCACAGTATAGCATATATTAAAAGCTTGACATGATTTCTCCGCTAACATCGTGGAAAGACGTTTATGAAGACACTACAGCTGGGGGTGTGGGGGAAGTGAATTTTCAGCCATTCACTCTAAAAATAATGAAGTGGGGTGAAATTAATGTTACTATTCCTGAAAGTCAATTTCAAACTGTAGGTTTACATACAGCTGAGTCCCGGAGAGGAGTTATTCTCTCAAATGGGTTCGACAGTGTTCCTAACAAATCCTGCATTTCCATAAACCAATAAAATTAAGCCACCTTGCTCGGTTACTATTCAGAGTGGGAACTTGAAGAGTTATTGTTCATGCAGAAAGAGATTTGCCTCAGGGACTCCAAGATTAATGCTTCCCCTTGACAGCCAAGTACAGGATTTGCACAGCCATAAACACAGTCAATTACAGGTAACTTAGCGATAATTTAAGGTAAATCCTATCTCTTTTTAGTATTCTTCAAGTGCCAGTTTAATTAAAACACTGTGCCCTAAACTATGTGCAGAAAATCTGGTAGTCAGCCACAAGAGAAAGGCTAGCATGCCATGAATCAATTATGTCCTTACATTGTTTTTTTCCCCCCAACCAAAATTGAATTTTTGCAGATGTGCCATCCATTGGTTCAACTTGTTCCATCCTTCTATGCATTTGTGTACATATAAATATTATATTATGTAATACCTTGAGGTGGGGTTATCTCATCCATTTGCATGTTTCCTCATGGTGGGGACACATGTATATAGAGATGATGCAGTTAAGTGCACTCACTTTGGGATTGTTTATTGGCTCTTGCTTAAATGTATATATTAATGGTTTATCTCAGAAAAGATACTAGATGGGCTGGTATCACAGGCTGTCTTGGCCATTTCTGATGTTTATTTGTCATGACTATGAGAGGGAGGGAACTTCCTTTGCCTTTCACAGATAGTGTTCTGTTATGCCTCCCCATCTCATTTCTATTCTGTGTGTAGCAGGAGCATCTGTAGCAACAGAATGGCATACCTCCAACTTTCATGAATGAGGACGGTGTGCTTTTTCCAACTGTCAACAATGTCTACCTTTCTATTTTAGTTGCTGCTACAAAACATATTGTCGAAATTGAATGTACTTCCTCCCCCCCCCACCTTGGATTGTTCCTCAAATTATGGCCACAATGTTGGTGTTTCTGTCACCCAAAAAATCCAAGTTATAATGGTGCCATAATGCTTGGCACATTGCATGTGCCTCCAATACTGTACTATGATGTAGTAAGGACTTCATACCCTATGCCTTAAATCTGATTGGCTAAGAAAGCATCAACAGCCTCAGTCCCCAGCAGAAGACGCAGAAGCAAAGATGATGGCAGGGTAGTAGATCTTCATGCAGGAGGCATTGTAGAAGGAGTTAGGTTTGTGAACTGGCTACAGGTGTCATTACACAAGTTACTGTAACAGGAGAGGGGCTGTACCTTTGCTCTTAGACCAAAGTAGAAATAGCAAAGAACTCACAGTAATAAATCAGCTCCCAGAAGGGATGAACTCTTCACCCAGCTAGTTGGGCACATTCCAGAGATAACCAAGCCCGGCACTAAGCAGATAGTGGGCCTTCTCCACCCTCCTCTGCCTTAGCTGAGAAAATCAGCTTTATTTACCTATGGTGGCAGGGCTTAGAAGAGGAGGAGGAATCTAGATCTTTAGTGAAGCAAAGATTTGGTACTCTTGGAGCTAAGCTGAGTGCAGGGAGATGCCTGGATACCCTTAGCCCATAACTGTGAGTCCTGGTTGCTGAGAGACTTTGTGATGCGAGCTTTCTTTGTAGTTAGTAATTATGTCATTGTATCCATGTTCTGTCTGCAGTTTGCATGAACTTCGTGCTGGTCCATCACACAGAATGGCCTTGGTTTTTTTCCTTGTGATGCAGGAATCCTGAAGATGGGAGTGACACTGGCAAGTAGCAATCCAAGGGCAGTGTTTGGAATAGAGACTGAAAACATGTGGGATGCTCACTCTGGTTTGTTTGTGTTTATGGCTGCTTCTAGCAGATACAAAGTAATGCTCATTTTAAGGACAAAACCTGCTCTGCCAGCAAGCAAGCGGAAGAGGCCTACTTCGGTTCACATAAAATGAACTGGGGCCAAATAGGTGAAGGCAGGAATTGTTCTCTGAATGGTAGGTACAGCAAGAGTGTTTAAAGAGGAGTAGACTCCAGCTGGCAGGAGAACTATCTCAGCTTTACTTCTGACACTGGGACCCTCTGAACTCCAAGCATGAAAATCCCTTACTCTGGCATGGACATGGGGAATTGATCCTCTACATTGCAGGGAACAGACAGATATTTAAGCATGTGGATGACAATCCCATCCCATGCTCCATCTGGTTTTGCCGAGGCATGGGCATTTTTGAAGTGTGTTTACATGTTGGTGATGTTTCTTTTGTAAAAGAAAGTATGACAATGAGATTTGTACTAAAAATCTCAGCTTCAGGCAGACATCTAGACAAGAGAATGGTATAATTATTCCGCTCACACAAAGTTGGGTCACACTACAAGCCTGAGGGCAGCCGCTTGCTATTAAAAGTAGTTTAGGTTGTAAGGAGTGTTACATTTCAGTTCCCCAAGTAGCTAATTAAACAGTATTGGTTTGCACTGAAAGCCAAAGGAGGGGAGGAGTTTTGACTATTTCGTAATCCTTTTTAAAATATAGATACAATACAACTCACACTTTCTTGTTCCTCTACAATCTTTTCAGAAAGGTATATGTGTAAAAATAAAATCCACAGTAGCAGATGGGTCTACTCTGCCTTCTTGGTGAATTCCAGAAACAACATGAGTCAGTGCTACAAGCAGGTGATAATTGAACGACATGTAAGTAAGTAGACTTTATTACGGTCGAAGACCAGTAAAACCAAATCAATATAAAATAGATACATATAATTATTGTTTCATAAAGTCGGGCAGGGTAATAAAATTCCATTAAAACATGATAAAACAACCCTTTCTTTCCAGTGTAATAACATCATATATCCTTAATATAGGTAAAACCTCAGGCAGTGTTATATGAAAACATTATATTATCTATCTAAAATCACCTACCCAAACATCTGTTTGCAAATAACCATTGCTGCAGCACAGAATTTGACCACTTGTCTTGTAATATAAGGGGTATTGTCAGAGAGTAGCCACTGCACATAATCCTCCTCTGATCTCCCAGGGGATTTATGGATAATAGGTGATAAAAGCTCCATACGAAGATCCTGATAGCAAATACAGAAAAGAAGACCAACTGATTCAACTTTATCACTATTACAAGTGATGCATCTGGTAGGCATGTGCACCTGGATTTAAGAGGAAGGTGGAGATGACAGATGATATAGTGGTTAGAGTGTTGGACTAGCACTTGGGAGATCAAAGTTCAAACCTCACTGCCTGGTAAGTGGCCTTGGGACACTTAATGGCTGAAGCTGAGAGACAGTGGCTGAAATCCTGTTGCACAGTTGCACAAATGGCAAAGTATTTGGACTCAAATTCCTGTAAGCAGAGAAATTTTTATAGGCAATATTTGTTGTTTGTTGAGTCATGCAACTGAGTATGCAACAGATAATATCTAAAGAGATTTCTTAATTTCTAGCAATTTATCTCCAAAATTTACCCTATTTGAGTATCTGTGTAATAGGATTTCAGTCACTGTCTCTCAGCTTGACCTACCTCATACATTTTAGGGCAAATTGGGGTGGACTGGAGCCATTATGTATGCCACATTGAGCTCACTGGGGAAAATCGGGGTATGTGTCTCTAATAAATATAATAAAACAAATTGTTAAAACAAAGAAAAGCAGTTACAGTTTCCTTTCTAATCCCTGGAAAAAAAGACGCCTCTCCCTAGCCTCACCCTAATGAAAGTGAGCAGGTTTCCCAAACATAATCTATTATTAGCTTCTTTCTGGGGTTTACATATAGCTCTCTGTGGCTAACTGGACACAATTCCAACCTCTACACCATCTGGATCCATAATTTGGTGGTTGTATGCATGGAAGTGTTTCTTTCATTCTCAGCTTCACAGCCTTGAGTTCTGTCTGAAACCACAAATTTGTCCAGAAGCCCTGGATATGAGAAGGGTCAGGGGTGACATTACTACCTCAAGAAGTGATTCTTACAATACATCTGTTGTAGGCACAGGAAGCAGAATGAGGTATAAATATAAAGAAAAGCTGGAAGAAACAAGATCGCAAAGGAAAAGAAAATGGCAACAAGGTGGAAAATAATGAGGGGATTTGACCTTAGTTCTTGTTGTTTAGTTGTTTAGTCATGTCCGACTCTTCATGACCCCATGGACCAGAGTACGCCAGGCACTCCTGTCTTCCAATGACTCCTGGATTTAATTCATGTTGGTAGCTTCAATGACACTATCCAACCATCTCATCCTCTGTTGTCCCCTTCTCCTCTTGCTCTCACACTTTCCCAACATCAGGGTCTTTTCCAGGGAGTCTTCTCTTCTCATGAGATAGCCAAAGTATTGGAGCCTCGGCTTCAGGATCTGTCCTTCCAGTGAGCACTCAGGGTTGATTTCCTTTAGAATTGATAGGTTTGTTCTCCTTGCAGTCGAGGGGATTCTCAAGAGTCTCCTCCAGCACCACAAGTCAAAAGCATGAATTTTTCGGCGGTCAGCTTTTTTTATGGTCCAACTCTCATTTCCATACATCACTACAGGAAAAACCATAGCTTTGACTATTCGGACTTTTGTTGGCAAGGTGATGTCTCTACTTTTAAAGATGCTGTCAAGGTTTGTCACCACTTTCCTCCCAAGAAGCAGGCGTCTTTTAATTTTGTGGCTGCTGTCACCATCTGCAGTGATCATGGAGCCCAAGAAGTAAAATCTGTCACTACCTCCATATCTTCCCCTTCTATTTGCCAGGAGGTGATGGGACCAGTGGCCATTATCTTAGTTTTTTTGATGTTGAGCGACATGCCTGGAAGTGAAAGCAAAATCTGATGCATTTCCCTCCTTGTGTGTTGTCTCCATAAGTTTTCAGAACCTTCCCCTTCTATTTGCCAGGAGGTGATGGGACCAATGGCCATGATCTTAGTTTTTTTGATGTTGAGTGACATGCCTGGAAGTGAAAGGAAAATCTGATGCATTTCCCTCCCTGTGTGTTGTCTCCATAAGTTTTCAGAACAACTGAATAGAACTTTAAGCATATCTCAAGATTGTTTTGTTGGCTAGCATTGGTTGGTTGGTTTGTTGGTTGGTTTTTTGGTTTGTTGTGTCCTGCCTTTCTCTCCTGCAGAACACTTGCTACCTCCTTAAAACTTTCTCCTACATAGGAAGTGGTTGAAAAAAATAAAATAAAAGGTGAAGGTCTGACATTTCCATTAAAAACATAATTTTAAGTCTCCATGATAGAGGTGAGGTTTGTGGGTTGCAGAGGAACTGATATGTGTGTTACTGATCATCTCCCTACCCCAAGCTCTGCCTTTTAACCCTTTTTAGTTTGTTGTAGTTAACTTTTCTCTCTTGGACTGGGGCTTGAGCTTTTGAATCACCCACTGGGCATCTTCTTTATGCAAAGGGAGTGCTGCCCAATGCCTGCCTTGAAGGGTTTGCTGATGGTTAAAGCCATGAAGTCTTCTGCTTTGTTTTCTAGCACATGCTGCTCAGAATCTCCACTGCCATTCTTCTGCTTTTCCATCTTAATTATTTAAAGCCATGGAACAGTTTTACCTCTTTCCTTTTGGGAGGACTGTTTATTATGCTAGTCTTTATTTGCCTTGTTTCAATCATCCAGATTTCTTCTTCTACAACATTAAGGACATACTGTATCTTGCATTCTTAATGGACATTAAAAGTATGGCGAATATTCCACACATTCCCCATCCCTGCACAAGATGCCAAGAATCAGTAAGCATACTTCAAGACGATTCACCAAACTCAATTTAATATCTCCTACTAAGGTCAATGCAGGATATCTCCTACTAAGGAGAGTGTAAAAAAGGCAGGGTAAAAATATTTTGAACAAAGAAACAACTGTAATCAGCAGGAGGACATTTTTAGTTATTAAATATGTTCTTCTTTCCCATGGCATGTCCAGCTAGTGATTAATTTGTTTCATGGGTGCCACAGAACAGAAGGGATACATATTTCATTACAGAAAATCTTATGCTGCCAATAACACCATTAGATGACTGTGGGTTTTTTTTTAATTAAGGACTTCCTCCTTCCATCCCATCATTCCCACACAATAAAATAGATTATTTACAAATCAAAGAAGTCACAGAAGAGATGAAGTTTTTTAACTATCTAACATCTCTTCCTAGTGGTGACATCATCAACCTTTCACAGAGGTAACATATACAGTAGGATTTTGGCCAAACAGAAATTGTTTAAATCAAATATCATATCGGCTATCTACCATCATCAGACATTCCATGGATATTTGGCAAATACCTGAAAATATCATGTGAAGGGTTGACATCAACATTTGCAGATATTTCTTTTGATAGCAAACTAATTTCAGCTATAATGGGTGCAGGCTTTTGTCTTTAAAGCCTCAATTTTAATGATTTCCCCCCTTCTTTTGAGCTTCAAAAGATTTTTGAAGCTTCATGGGAGATTTCATTTTAATGTTTTTCTCTTGGCTCTGTTTTCAGTGGCATACTGAGAAGTTCTGTGTTCATGATTAACAAGTCAATGTAAATTATCTCATAGGAGAGGCGCATTGTGCAATCTTTGTACATAATTTACTGTACATGGCAACTGTACCTCTCTGAGTCAACAGCTACCTGTGAATGGGTGTGTGTGTGAAATCTGGCTTAACGATAAGCAATAAACTGTTAAAGCAGTGACCAGTTTACTAATGCCCAGATATTAATTTTTGATTTCTGCTTACCAAGATAAAGCACTGCAGCTGCAATGAATATTTTATTATATTTGAATTTAATTTGCTTTTGAGATTCATATCCCCATAAGTGCTTCAGTAACCTTCTAAGGTGGCTTGCAGGAATCAATATTATAATATAAGCCTATTAAAATTAAAAATGTTGTGGCTCTCAATGTGGTCTCACCAACATCTCTTATTTTCTCATACCATCTAAGGTGAGAGAGCCATTTTGTCATGAGTTCAGGGCATCATTCACCAATTTTCAATTATGATGAGGCTCTGAAAAAACTGGATATAGTGGGATAGTGGGTTCTCAGGAGAACCAGAGGAAGTGCAGCCCTTCAAAATCTGGAGTGAGGCAAATGTGTCCCTGGGTCTCTTAATAGTAGCCCAATGCACAAGTAAGTGTTGTCCTGGCAGAGGCCCCTCAGCAATCTGCCAGTGTAAGTTGAAACATCCTCTGAAACAAGGGTAAAGAACCACTTTCAGCCAAAGGACCAAACTGAGGGCTTGTCCAAAATAACCCGGTGCATCAATATTTCTTTTAGTTATTTTTTCCACTAACTAGATGATGCAAAGCTGAATTCAGTCAGATCCATGCCCTTCCCCCGATCTGTCTTGGAGGACTGTGTTATTTTGAGGCAGCCTTTTTGCTGGAGTTTAGTACTACCTTGTTTTCTACATATGTCTCATTTCTTTATTAAAAGCTCCTAGTTGGAAGCCTTCATTAACCCTTTATATGGGTTTTAAAATGGAGAAGGGATTTTGTGTCCTTTTAAAGAGAAAGGCAGGGTAAAAATATTTTAAAACAAGCAAGCAAACAAACAAACCCACAATGAGGGCTAGAAAAATGAGACCCTTCAGCTATCTGTTGGATAAAAAGGGAGGCAGGGTGAGAGGCAGAGGCATAGCTAGCTATTTGGGCACCAGGGGCAAGCAATATTGCCCCCCATCTACTCTGTCCTGAGAATTGGCACAAGCCCTTCCCAT